AGTGGTTATCCTTGAACTTCGAGATGAAAGACATGGGTGAAGCAGAATATATCTTAGGTGTTAAGATAAGAAGAGATCGTTCTAGAAAATTGCTGTCATTGTCACAAAAGGCATACATAGCAAAGATTCTTGAGCGTTTTAATATGAGAGACTGCAAGCCTATGGATACCCCTGTGGTTAAGGGACATAACCTAAGTAAGCAAATGCGCCCTACAAAACAATGCGATATAGAGCGCATGAAGAGAGTCCCATACTCAAGTGCCGTAGGCAGCCTAATGTACGCCATGTTGTGTACCAGGCCAGACATATGCTTCGTAGTCGGACTTGTGAGTCGATTCCAATCCAATCCAGGAGTCAAACACTGGGAAGCTGTAAAGAGGATTATGAGATATCTAAAAGGAACCATGGACTATGAGCTATGCTATCAAGGAAATGGCCTTCGTGCGGAGGGTTATTCTGATGCTGATTGGGCAGGAGACCTGGACAAGCGACACTCGACATCAGGCTATACTTTCCTACTGAATAACGGAGCAATCTCCTGGAGCAGCAAGAAACAAACGTGTGTGTCTCTTTCATCCATGGAAGCAGAATATGTAGCTTGTTCTGCAGCTGTCCAAGAAGCTGTGTGGCTCAAAAGATTCTTAGTACAATTGGGAATCCATGGTGGGAGTGAGGGACCAACTCTGATTCACTGCGATAGTCAAACAGCAATAGCCTATGCAAAGGACCCTAAGTACCACAATCGTACTAAGCATATAGACATAAAATATCACTTTGTAAGGGATATGATCGCTAAGAAACAAGTGACAGTTCAATACTTGTCCACTCATAAGATGTTGGCAGATCCCCTAACCAAGCCTATAGCTAGCGATCCTTTCGTTAAGCATGTAAAGGCCTTGGGCATGCGTAGAGCATAATGTATTGAACTCCTTTTTTCTTTTTGATCCTTTTTTTGTTCAAATACGCAGGCACAAGGCATGTTGTACTGAACCTTTTCCTCTTACTTAGTAATTTAATGCATTTTATCCAGTTCAAAGAAATTTTTCTTGTATATACATTTGTGTGTTTGTACATGCATAGGCACGAGGTATGTAATACAAATATGTCGTACAGGTCACAAGGTTAGCTCACTCACACGAGCAACTGCCTAGCTATGTTCTCATGGGATATAGAAGGTTTGACATCAGATGATCACCATGAGATGGTAGAGAAGAATCACTGCACAAATGTCACCTCAGCTAGACTGAGATGAGACCCATAAAAGTTTGGGCCGAATCATGGATAATGTGTCATCCATGAGACCTGTAGCCAGACAAGGAACTCTTCACTAGTAAGACGTCATATATAGTTGTGATGAAAGAGCTCCTGATTCAAATGTTGGAGTGCATTTGGAACTTAAGTCTGTACGGTGCTATTAAAACCAAAAGCGACATACTCCACTTGGTGGATTGAGCACCGTAGCATGCAATTCATACTGCATGAGCTCACTCAAATCCGCAACAAGGGACGTAGATGGAAGATCCCTGATCCATTACGGTGTGAGTCCCAGAAAGGAAATAAACCTTTCATAATGCCCTTAAGACTTAGACAACATCACAAGGTTTTGGTTTAGTGGCAGCTACTCTAGCCTAAACCCCATGGTCAAGAATGATGCGATCTAACGGGTCAAGACTGAGAAAGCGACTATGCCAAATCTAAATGATGAATAGTCAAAAGGAAGATTTATCCTGAAATACACATCTACGTTGGTGTCTGTGACATGTCCCTTGCAGGTTGAACAGAACAACTAAGCAAGTGTGGATACCATACGTATGAGAAGGCAATCTGAGTAAACAAAATAACTCGAGAGGGATTAGATATGCCACAAGTAAAGTGTATGGATAAAACTAGGGCATTCGAGGCAACAAGCATACAATTTGCAGATACACCAAGGGTGTTCTTGGGTGTTGGTCTTGCATAAAGGATTCCTAGTACACAGGCGCCCGAATCGATGACGTCATGCCCACGCGGTCACGGCAAACACCTAGTATGAAGCAATGAAAGATTTAGCTATCGCACAATGAGCAGCCCATTAAGTGCGAGTGGGAGATGTTAGATTTTTGGGCTTGGATCCGCCCTTGATGGGCCGGATTATTTGACCGGGTATAAAGAGAATATATCAGTCAAATATCCAAGCGATATTGTGATATGTTTGACTTGGTCAAACACCCTGAATCATATCCAATCGGTTACAATATAAATCTAATTAATTTATATTAAATTAATTAATTTATATTGTGTAGATTAAATATATATTAAGTATATATATTTAGAATTAATTGTGATTGATTCTGGATTTAAATTCAAATATCATGATATTATGAGATAAGGATATATTATATCTTATCTCATATTTTATCTAATGGGCTCAGTGGATATTTTTATGCTACCCAAAATATCCCTGACAAAAGCTATAAATAGAGGCTTCCCCCCATCAGTTCAAATCACTCCAGTAGTAGAGTTTTTCTACTATATCTCTCTCTCTCTTATTTTCTTTCTTGCAAAAGTGGTGCTCTGCTGTGCACTTAAAAGCTTAGACTTTTATAGTCTAGCTTAAGCATGAGCTAAGAAGATCCGACTAACCCGACCTGAGATCCGACCCGGTATGTTTTCGATTCATTCTCCAATTTATCTAACAGTATGTATATCGTGTGTTAAAATATTACGATTTACCTCTCATAATTGATTATAGGCGTAAACCAAATGAGCCCAATAATTCATGTAATTTATTTTAAAATCAATTTCAAGCATGTCATTTTCTTTAAAAAAAATATTACGAGTATTGTCTTTTCCTCTTTAGCTGGATATCATTTTACACATCAATGAATTAATGACTCCCAAGATGTTGCTTAAAAAAATGATGAATGCACATGTGCGTCCAAATTTAATTACTATAATCTATAATACTACTCATAAATAATCGATAGCATGACAGTAGTATTTCTTAATTACCTTTCTGTACATTGCCTGCTTGTCACAATATAGTACTCTTAATTATTACTACACTGGCTCTTAATATAAAACGTAATTGACTAATTTAATATTAAGAAAGCCAAGTAAATTACTTAACTTTCTAGCCAAAATTAAAATAAATTACTTAATTATAGTATATGTTGAATGATTTCTTTAAAATACTTATATTTATATCTATTGTTATATTATAACTTATTTTTGTCAAACATTATATTATATATTAGTTTATAAGTCAAGTAAATTAGTTTAAAGAAAAACAATAAATATAAATATTTAAAATAATTTATTTAGCTTTCATAATCTTCTCAAATTAGTCAATTAAAATATTAATTAATTATTAATCTGTATGGGACGATCATAAAGCAAAATATTGGGCTAATTAATTTTAAAATTAAACCTCATATTGAGATTCAAAATATACGAAGACGTCTCCTAGTCTTCCGTGAGGTAAAAAAAGGTGACCCCGCAGAGCTAATAAAAATATCAAAAGAAAAAAATGCATGTAAGAAAAGGAATAGAACCAGATCTACTTTTCAGACAAAATCAAGTAATTACTACCCCACATCTTCCATTTTTGGAAGATAGGTATTTTATTTTATACTTAAATTTTTATAATTTTTATATTAAAAATTAAAAATATAATATAATCTTCTGTTTTTTGTTTTTTTTTTAAAAAAGTGAAGTTTTAGCCTATATTCTTTGCTGAATATTTAATATGTATTATATAAATCAATATGTTAAGTAGACAAAAAGTAACAACCAAAATGCCCAGGATAATTTATATTAAGTTGCATTCATTGCACATTGTCGGCAATGTTTCTCAGTTATTGACCGATTACGATTCATATAGTTTATTTTAAATATTTTTTCAATCACAACGTTTATCTTTAAAAAAATTTTATTATATTTTTCTTTGGATGTCATTTCGACCATGAATTAGTATCCCAAAGATATATATTGCTTAAAAGTGATGAAGAGTGTTCATAACTAATTCAGGCAACAACAATTAGTTAAAATTAGTTAAAAATATACTTTTGTTTTTAAATATATGCCCTATAATAAATAAGAATAAAAATAAAAGACAATGTGTAGGGAAATGTGATAATAGAATATAACAAAGGAAAGAAAATAAATAATTAATGATAAAATTGAAAAAAAATCCAAACTAAAACTTATAAAATAGATCACATCCCTTTCTAAATCTCAAACTTATAAATAAGGCTAGGGGTTACTATGGTCAGCCTAAGATATTCTGATAAAAGAATCAACAGAAAAATTATAATTTATAGTATGCTTATGTATCTCATTTATTGCAAATCACAGTACGATTCACTTCTTGTGCTCATCGGCACTGTCTCTTGCTCTTTTCTTTTTTTTCTTTAGCCAGCCTCTTGCTCTCAACTCTTGTTAATTAATTTATACAAAAATGGGAGATAATGATGGAAAATATTAAGTTAGTTTTCAAAACCATATCCTTGTCTCATATTAACATATCAAAAAATATCCAGATGTCTTTAATTTTTTTCTTCTTCCGGTAAATTAAAAATGCTACCCAACAGCTCCAGTGAATAGAAAATATGAAATGATCCCCAAATTATATATTAGAAAAGGAATTATAATAAAGGCAGCCTACCTTTTAAGACAAAATCAATTGAAACCAACCCCACACAGCACCCTTTTTTTGGACAATAGATATTTTATTTTATCTTATCCTCAATTTCTTTTAATGTTTTCTTACTTTAAAATAAAAATTAAAACATAATCTTCTAATTATGGTGTTTTCTTTTTTTTAAAAAAAAAAAGAAGAGGTTTTAACTTTAAGAATTAAAATAGAAAAACTTTTAATTTATAACATCCCAATCAAATAAGAGGGCCTTTGAATGAAGACTATAAGTAAGTACTTGGTGTTTAAGCGCGCCATTGAATCAAGAATGCAAGTACTATGCATTTCGTATAAGTGCCGGAACCGGATCCTCTCAGAAGCGAATTTCTCAGCGTCTCTCAGAATCTGCACATCCTGTCCGTCCATTCCATCATGAGCGTCCAGAAAGTGACACATCATGGAACATTTAAAATAGCATCTAAACCGTTCATCCCATTATAATCCTCACGGCCCATTCAATTCCAAAATCCCTTCGGCCTTCACAAAAATACCTTCTCAGTTTGCCGTGAATTTCCAACCTAGTCGGCGACGCAAACAGGGAGCTCCATGGTTATCGATGATTAGGCACCATGAGAGAATCACCATAGTTTTGCCGAAAGCAACTTATTGGGTCTGGTATCTACCTTAAAACTCTTCCTTCATATCTTTGTTCTTTTTCCCATCCCTTTCTGATTGCGCTTCTTCCTCTGCATCTCCTTGCTTTTTTCTGTTCTTCTTTGCATTTGTCTACTTATTTAAATTCCTGTAGCTATTGAAAGATTTTTTGAATCTTAACATCCCACCGTTTTTTAAGTGAATTTCCGTATTGGTGTATTTTAGTAAGGCTATGAATTCAGAGAAGCTAGAATGAGGCAACCCATTCTGAATACTATAATTTTAGTGCCCTTTTTTGGCGTGTTGCATTGCATTTGACTACCTTGTGAAGAATTTGGAAATTTGCTTTAATGCTGCCTTCTCTTAATGATTCGAGCTTTGGAGAATGGATGTTTGTTTTTATTAAGTATTTTTCTTTACTGCACCTGGATTGAATTGATTTGTAATTACGCGAATGTCAGTTCAATTTCTTTGCTGTCAAATAGAATATGTGCATATTTTTTTTTATTAACTCCTCAAATTCTACAATTAAGTATGATGATAACATTCATTCAAGTCTCAATATTTAATTGTATCCTGAAGGGGCACTGAAAGGATTGTGGTCAAATAGGCTTTATGTTCTTCAGCTACAAGGTTTACAACTAATGTGTAATTAGAAATAGGAAGCACCATGTTAAAAGCCAGATTACATGCCCCATGCTAACAAGTTGTTGATGGGCAATAAACTAATTTTAAATGGGAGAACCTTTTTTTTTTTTGGATGAATTACAATTTACTTCACAATAGGATCTATCTTCAGTTTGGGAACAATTACCCGAATGGGCATTAAAATTGCTAATATCCTGAGTTTTGATTCTTTCTTTTTTCCCAATAGCTTCATATAATGATAATGATTGCAAAAATTATTATAATCTATAGTCTTTCTTAAAGATGTCTTAGATTTAATATGATTCTTTGTGTCCAATCTTTTGTTTTCTTCCCATACATATTCAATCAATGTCCATATCCGTAGGATTGATTCTCATGTCATTAACTATTTTCATGAGATTGGAATCTGGATCGCTGGATGAATTTAACAATTTATGTTTATTTGCTGATTGGTTCTGCATCATATAGTTGATTGAAGCTTCAATCTACTTGATGGTATGAGTAGTCCCACGGTTTGTCTATGTTTCAATAATAGTAGAATGAAGCTAGTGATGAAATATTTCTGTTGATTAAAATGTTTAAGAGATTATATTAGTCACTCACTTTTCCTTTAATTTCCTATAAGGTCTGTTAGAATTTGCTACCACATTGAACAAAATAGAATTTGCCATCATACTTTACTCCTATATTGAACAAAATAGGACTTGTTGAGATCAAACTAGCTGTATCCTACCATACAGAAGAGAAAGTTTCTGCTTGCTTGCTGTCAGAGCCAGCTTTGGTACATAAAAGAAATCAAACCCTCCAAAAAAATATGAGAGATATTTGAGATAAATTCTTGCTACATGTATTTTGTTTGAGCTGATTATCAAAAAACGCAGAAGAACTTTCTACATTAAATGACTAAATTGTTGGATTTTGAATTGTCATTGCAGGGAGTGGTTGCCTTGTCATTTATGCTGACTAAATATTGTTGAAGCTATAGAAGATGGACCTTCACCCACTAGGAATTGATTGGGCATTGGTGAAGCTATAGAAGATAGACCTTCACCTTCTAGGAATTGATTACACATTGCTGAAGCTGTTATGGAAAATGGACCTTCACCTAATGACAAGGAAGAAAGAAGAGCAATGCAGATGTTAGTATAGTGTTATAAAGAATGACAGTTCTATTTGGCATCATGATGTATTATATACATTGATTTTAATAAAAGTGACAATTTTCCCTTAACTTTTGTTGTTTCTATCTTGTTTTGTTTTTTTTTTTTTTGGTTGGGTACCTGTCAATAAAAATTCCTCTTCTTCCAATGCTTCCAATAATTGTGTTGGATCATCTAAGGGAGCCTATAAATCACAAAGAAAAGTATGCATATTATTAACATTAATAGAATAAGTCACAAAGGACATTAATTTTGGACAAAAAACTTACCATCAACATACTAGAAAATGACTGCACTTGAGGTAGTACTTGTAATGTTGGAGGTGCAGAACATGAAATTGGAGCATTTGATTCCTCACTTCTTACATTGGCTAGGGACCTACTTATCTTTCCCAGACGCTCACGAAAATTCTTAAATCTTTTCTTTCTCTTAGTTCCATCTCTCTTTTTGATGCCCTTGGGTTGTTTATGTTTCATGTCCATCTTCTTTTTTTCATTGCTGCCCCCTTCTTCCTTGCTTCTATCTTCTTCCTTTTTGTTGTCATCATTTGAATTCCTTAGCCTTGAACGGAAGTCTCTTGCTTCTTTATGAAGCTTAATTATAGAGTTGTGGACAAAGGCAGAAGTCTTTGGACAGTCAGACATTTCAGCTGCTAATGTTATCATCATGTGACATAATTGTCGATATGTTTGTGTGCTTTGAAGCTTAGGATCCACTTGTATTTCATTTCCTCTAATATCATGTATTACACCATCTCTTGCATCTTTGGTCCATCTTTTCAAAATGTATTTTTCTGGTAATTTTCTCACTTCATTTAGCTCATATACTTTTAGAGCATGACAACATAATATTCCAATTGATTCAAAATTCCTACAACTGCACCATATAGAATCATCCTTTGGATCAAATGTCAATGTCCACATTTTGTCTTCATTAACCATAGTACCAATATATGTGAACAATGGACCTTTCTCATCTCGTGAGGAAATGCATGTGGCAAAAAAGAGATCCAATTGCTCTTGGAACAATTCTAACACAGGGGCAGTGTAAATTTTAGCAAGTTGTCGTAGTATAGGTGAACTTTGGACCATCAATCGTGGTTTTTTCTCCCTTGCTTCATACTCACATTTCATCTCATTATACCTCTTATCTGCAACAACCCGCTCAAACTTTTGAAGAATTCATCAATATTATGACTTGGGTTTGTAACACTCTTGATATCTGCATTGACGCTTTCACTAATTTGTGTGCTACGTATACCAAGAGTAATATAGTATTTCATATAACACCATGCCCATTTCTCTTTGATTTCATATATAGACTTCATCCATAAGTTGTCTTCCAAATTGAATGATGATATTAGAGAAGCCCATGTTTCTTCAAATTGTGATTTGTCCTCAATAGCAAACATACATTTATTGAAGTCCCGCAAAAAATGTGAACCACCCTTCATCTTATTTCCTAAATGTTTTATCCCATTTTGCTCAATATGCCATGTGCATAATGCATGTTTCACTTCAGGAACAACTTCATGTAGTGCTCTTGCCATTGCTTGATCTTGGTCAGTAAACATAGTTGCAGGCCTCTTTTGCTTGTTTGCTTTGAGGAAAGTTTCAAACAACCACTTAAATGATTCTGTGGTTTCATCATATAACAAAGTTGCACCAAAAATTATAATTCCTCTGTAATGATTAAGTCCTGAAAATATGGCAAGAGGCCTATGGTTACGGTTTGTGCAATATGTGGTGTCCAATGAAATTACATCTCCAAAATAAGCGTAGTCTACAAGCATACGAGCATCAGCCCAAAAAATATTTGTAATTTGATTTTCCACATCAAGTTGGTATGAATGATAAAATGAAGGGTTCTCAATAATCTGTTCTTCAATATAATTCAATAACCATCCAACTTCTCCATTTTCCATACTTCTTTTTTGTTTAATCTTCAAATAATTTTTCATATCAACTCGTGTGAAACTGAGATTAGCTCGCCCACCTGCTTGCTTGCTCATAAGGTCAAATGTTGTTTTTTGTTGAAGTCCAGCATCCCTAGCCAAATCACTCTCATTTGCTTGTGCATCACTTATTTTTCGTTGAGATCTCATCATATGCACTGTTTCTTGAAGATGTAATGGGTGGTTATGCTCTTCTATGAAGCTGGTGATCTCGTATTTACCTTGCACTAAATTAACTATCATTCCAGCTTTACAATTGGTTCTAGTCTCAGGACGATGGTTGGTGGCTGAGGTGTACCTTTTATCTGGTCTTCGTTCACCCTCTTTTGAACATTTATATCTATATGCAATAATAGTCTTCTTATCTTTTTTACTCTTTGTCAACCCATTTTTTCTTGCACTAAAGCCTACTCTGGAAGCATATTCATTCCAAAAACCCCATGCCTCCTCTAGATTATCAAATTGTTTTCCCACTCTAGGAGCCAAATCAGTTTCCATAAATTGAGACCTGCAAAATAAATCTATGCACCACACATCATAAAAACTTCTGTAAAACTTAGAAATTACATAAGTTAAATATAAAAAAACTACATTTGAAAGGAGAACTAAACATTTCACAACTTTGATCTTATGTGATGAAGAATATATTATATAAAGAGAAAATAAACAATTTAGAGTGTAATACTAGTGACAAAATGCAATGTTCTTTTCTTATATATATATATGAACCAAAACGCAACATATTTTATATAATCAATTGTAAATTGATAAGCACAATAAATAAATCTGCAACAATGTTAAACAAGGGCTGTAAAACCCTTCACCTCAAAATCATAAAATTCACTACTATGGTAGAAAAGAAATCTGTTAAAATGAACTACCATAGTAGAAAGAAATTTGCATATTTTTAGAAATTGACTTTCAAACTCGGGTCAAACCTAAACACCGTTGCATGCAACTAAAATCATTCATTCACATCCACTGGGCCTCCGAGCCTCCAGCCCGGGTAACAAAATACATCTACATCAGCCATACAAATGGTTTCCAACAACGTAAATCAAAGTTCCACAAACAATAGAAAGGGCTAGAAGTGAGAAGATACACTTCCTCTGGTTTACTATAAAGCCGGGCAATCAAAATATTTCAAAGGACCCTACTGTGGCAATATATGTAACATCCAAAGTTTTAGGCCTAGAAGTACCAATAATAGCCTGAATTAGATAGGCTATCAGACCCCTTTTTAGCAGAAGTCCCAAAGATGAGAAAGGAAGTCAAAGTAGTTTCAGGGACTAAACTGCAAAGTAAAAGTTTCAAGGGGCTAAAGTATAATAAAGTTAGAGGCTCCAGTAAAGTCTCGAAGGCCCAGAGAGAGAAAAGAGACTAGATATAGGCCAAAGGTTGAGTTAGAAGCCTCAAAGAGAGGATTATATGAAGTTAAGTCCAACCAGGGACTAAACTGTAAATTCTGAAAGTTATGACTAACAGGGGTAAAAATGGAAGAGTACGAAGAGAATTCCAAGAAAATCCTAGAAAATGGGAAATAATATTCTAAGGCTCTTCTATGAAGAGAAAAGATGAAAATACCCCTGAGGCAGCTTCAACAGAATTTATAAGGTTATTACCGGTAAAAAGTATACCATGTGAGGTAATTATTTAAAATAGCAAGAGACCTCAAAAATGTATACAAAAATGAGGTTAAATGTTGAAAGGTTGTACTAATTTATAAAATTAGTCCCGCAACCAAAAGACCAGTGGAGTGGCTTTAATAAATTAAAGAGCCGGTTTTGCCGATAAAAGGGCATTTTGGTAAATGAATTTTTATGCAAGGTTTAAAGGAAGTGTTATGGCCTAAGAAAATTCATAGATATTCTCTAGACAGAACAATTTTCTGAGCTCCGAAAGGCCATAAAGAAAGCCGGAGAACCGTGGGCCAAGTAAATTCGGACGAAGCTTATGAAACAAGTTTGATCCAACGGCTAGGATCTAATCTCCCATCTCCTCCACCACTTTCATGACACTTGGCATCTTCTAGAAGGTTGAGGTAAGCATGATGTAATAAGATGATGCAATGATGATGCAAAAGTCCACTTGAACTTCCAAATTTGCCCTTACCCTTTCTATTAGCCACCAAGGGCATTTTGGTCCATTCAAGCCAACTTTTTGGCTATAAATAGAGCCTCTTCCCCTTCATATTTTCAGCCAACATGAGTTTAAGAGGGGAAACTCTGCCAAAATTTAGAGAGAAAAACGTAGGGGTGAAGGCCAAGAAGAAGGAACAAAGTTCAAGCTTCAAGATCAAGGTATGTGGTGGCTGTAGCATCTGATTTGATACCTATTTCGAATTAGTTACTGTTCAAATCTGATTCTGAAATTTGGTATGCTTGTAGTACACTCTGTGAGCTTTAAATCCATGGGTAGAACACTTCATTTGGATATGTGTACGATTTATGGTGATTTTTCAAAGTTAGGGTTTGAAATCTGGAAACAGTGTTAAGCTTTTGGAAGGGTGTCGAGTTCCGTACAATTCTGGTACTGTTCAGCGTAGAATTGGTTCCTGAAACTATTTTTCCTTTAAATTTAACTTAATTAGCTTTCAGTGAGAATTGGAAGCACTCAATTTGGAGTTTTCTAGATTTAATTATGAATTTTCAAAGTTGAGCAAAAATTCTGGAGATTCTGCGTGAACAGTACCGCGAACCAAAATTTCCAGATTTGGTATTCTTGAATCTAAAGCCATCTAAAGTGGTCCTAATTGACAGGAAATAGATCATAAGGATGTAAAATGATAAGATTTATGTTAGAAAAGCTAGAGAGAAAACCCTAAGACTAAGAGAAAGGGTTGAGGTTCAAGAGAGCTAGCTTTGAACTTTATGTAATCTAGTGGTCCTAATAGATTGTATGATCATTATGACTATGTTTAGGACCTTTGGAACATCCAAGAGGATGTTTGATGATGTTGACCGAAAGCTAACATGGTTGGAAAGTCAAGGGAGTCAAAGGAAAAGTAAGAGGAAGGCTTGAGGTGCAAGGTAGTAAACTTACCTATTGTCATTGCTTGATGTTGTATGCTTGTGTGTTGCCGTGTACATGTTATTGAATGTTATTGTGACATGTTTTAGCTGCTGTGATTGCTATTCATGATGAGTAGATTATGTCTCCATGGCCATGCATCAAGAAGTTAGCTTTGAGCATGCTAGTATGTCACTAATTAACAAGAGAATAAACAAGTTGCGTGTAGTGCATGAGCATCCATTTAGCATGATTAATATGGTATTGTTTGCTACTGAGATTCCCCCGAATCTCACCCCCTTCCTAACCAACCATTTAGGTCAATCAATGATGGGCACTAATGGCATGAGAAGCAAGGAGAAGAAGTGGAGAATTATTAAGGCAAATGAATGATATTAATATTCAATGTATAATTCTCCTATGCTGTAAATTATGTTCTGAATGCCATTACTTCAATGTATATGCTTAGTATGTTTATGGCATGAATGAAAGTATATGAGTATGAATGAGAAAGATTAAGCCCATGCTATGTATGTCAAAGAAATAAAAAGAATTAAAGTAAGGAGATATTAAAGGATAAAACGTAGGTCCTGAAGCAGTTAGTTTTGAGCTTCAGTTTGACCTACCAAATGAATGAGTTAAATCACGAGATTTGGTATACCTATAGTGCACATCCCAAGCTTCAAAATGAGTGGTAAATCACCTCATTTGGATGTGTATACGAAGAGATATGAATTTTCAAAGTTAAGGCGCAGAATCTGGAAAGTCCAGATTTTACCAAACGGATAGTAATCTTAATCCAATAAACTGTACGTTTTCCATGAGGATGAGTTCAGTTGAGTATTTTTCCCTTAAAGAGCATTGAAAGAGCTTTCCGTAGAATTTTGGAACACCTCCATACGATTTTTCTAGAATTAGTTATGATTTTTCAAAGTTGGACCTGTAATCTGAAAACTGGACAGTGAACAGTAATTTCCCGAAAATTAACATCCAAATTGAAATTTTTAAGTTTAAGACCATCCAAAGTGGTTTGGAATGGTTCTAAATGAATGCTAAGGTACTATATAAGTAAGGTGTGACAATATACAACTGGTCATACATAAACAAAGGCTAGAGGCCTAAAGCTAACCAAGCTCAAGCCTCTGCGTCTCTTTCCGAAGGCACACGCCTAGAACCTTCACCTGAAAACATTGTAAACCACGGGGTGAGACAAACGTCCCAATAACCAACCTTTCCAATTCAAGGTACTACTAAATAGGTACTCGTGAGGTGTCAAGTGGGGCATTTCACAAGTAATATTATAAATGATAGCCACAACAATTCATGCAAGTGCAATGATACAATTCCCATCAACCATATCCCTCACTTTGGGGGATTTTTAAGAGCCAAACCCGGCCTATCCCTCACTATGGGGGACGTAAGGAGCCATAAAAGGCCTATCCTTCACTCTGGGGGACGTACTGAGCCAACCATCATGCATTAATGGAGGCCTTACCACGTGGTAGTAACTATCAAAAATTCTCACCAATTCCCAATTCATGCATCATGCTCAAACCATAATCAAATAGTAATTGAACATTTCATAATTAACTTCTTTCAGTGGCATATCTTTCACAATTCTAAGATTCATTCATCATCAATCGAAACCCCACAAGACGGTTTTCCTTTTTATATATACAACATACACTTTGAATATAATTGTTACTCGGAGCACAAAACATAAATCTACTCAGAATACCACAGAAGCAGGTACTAAGGATTGGAAAGTGGTTACCTCTCGCCTGAGCAAGGAATAACAACCAACAATACGGTCCGTGCACCAACAAGGCTCACAACCGGTCTACACAAGCACACAAACACACAACCATCATTATTAGCTTTCAAACTAATAATGTGGCCAAAACAACACTTGAGGACACAAAATTCCTAGCTCCAACCAAAACTCTACCCAAGTCAAAGGGTATAACCATCAAAACAACACTCCAAAGTCATAAAAGTCCATTAAACATCAAATCCCCTTTTTAAGCATCAATTAGAGTTCAAACCTTAAGGACCCACTATAGGAATTCAACCTCCAAACATCCCATTTGAACAATTGAAGTCTTAACAACAATCTAAACCAATTAAACATCCAATTTAACCCTCCTTAACATAACTCAATTCACAAAACTCAAAATCAACCTCTACATTATCATCCTCAATCACAAACCTCCCATTTCCATAAACCCTAACTTCAAAAACTCAAAGTTCTTCAAATCCAAGAAAACTACACCGATTAAAAACTTAGACTAACCCAAAGCAATCAATTAAACTCAAATCAATCGGTCAAAAACCTCAATTCCATCACAACCTAGAAAACTCTAGGGTTCCACCATAAATCCTCAAAAATTCCAAGAAAGAAAGTAGATTAGAGGTTAAAATCACTTACTTGAGGTAATGGATCCTTAGAAATGCCCCCTCCAAGCCAAAATACCGAAACCCTAGCAGAG